GTTCCCTCGTCTGGAACTCACCAGCATCACCCTACCTCTGTGGCTGGGATGGTGACCTACAGGGAGCTGTGCCCTCCCCAGGTGCTCAGCCCATCATGACCCACCTGCACCTTGGCCATCGCCTACCCCAAATACTGACTCATGTTGAGCACCCCCTCATCAGGTGTAAAGTGTTCCTGCCCCGAAACGCACATCCATGGGATTCCAGGAAGAGAGGGGTGAAGGTTGAGCTCATCCACATTCTGGTCCAGTTCTGCCTCCATCGGCTGGGCCAGTGCAAGGACTCTTACTGATCACAACAGAAAGACCTTGTGCATCCTTGGCTGTGGAATGGTTAGCTAGGTGTCCTGAACACATATTTGGAAAGGGCCCAGGTCCAGTGCATCTTTCACTGGAGACCAGAGGCCCTTAGAGGTGTTTTGCTCAAGAGCTCAGTAGAGCTTCTGCCTTCGGTGCATGAGGAGCCCTGCAGGGGTGAGAGGGGTGGAGGAGCCACTCGGTGTGTGCAATCTGTGCCCATCCTGGATGCCCATCCAGAGAGCAGTACATGTGGGGTGTGGCCCTTCCGTGTCCCATTGCTCAGCCTGTGGACAGCCCATCCCCAGACCTCTTCCATGAGACCCACACATGGGCGGACAGATGAGTCCTGGCAGCATCATGCATGTGCTCTTGGGGGGAGCCAGGCTTTCTCTCTACTCTGAGGGCCTGCTCCTGCTTGTCCAGGGTGACCCTGCTCAGGAAATGGTATAATCCCCCACTCTGCATCCAGCAGAGCTCCTGTCCTTACTGCACCGCAGCTTCCTGCCCGGGGATCTGCAGGGCAAGATTTGCCCACATCCTCCCGCAGAGCCCTGGGGATCAATGAACCACAGCCCGGAGCAGTCACTTGTCAGATACGAAGGTCAAGATAAGTCAGGTGTCACCAGCCTGAAAAATCTCCAAAGTCAGACCAGCAGAGCTTGCATCCCAGCCCTGCCTGTTCGTAGCTGGGTGACTCTAGGTAATGTCCTTGTGCCTTCCTCGCTGAGCTTCCCCTTCTGGAAGATGGGGACAGCAGTGCCACCACACAGTAAAGAACTAAGTATTCCCAGCCCTGGGACTTCCTGTTCCGTTTCCATGGGTGCAGCCAAACGTTTGCTCTCTGAAAAAACTTCCTCCTCCTGAGCTAAGTACTCCCTCATTAGCACTCTGTTCCTCCACCTCATGCAAGCATTGTGATCGCGGGCAACAGAAAGAGCTGCTGTCCTGGCCACGGCCACTCCTGGCAGCCAGCTGTGATGCTCTCCAGCTGGAGAGCCACTGTGGTCATGACTCATCATCTCGGATCCAGAAGCCACCTGGAAGGTCACCTTGGGGCCACGCATGTGCGAGAGTAACAGACAGATTCAACCTTCAGGGCCGTGTGCTTTGTAACTTTTGGTGGAAGATGATTGATTTCTCTGAGCTTCAGCAGTGTTCCTCCCAGGTTCTGGGCCACTGAGCAGCTTTTCAATCTGCTTGGTGTTATTGCAGAAGGCACTTCTCAGGGGAGGCTTCATTCCACCCCTACAGTGGGATCACGCTGCCCATCCCCATGCTAACCCCAGGCTCTCTGGGCTGCTCACAGGCTGGCGGGTCAATGAGTTCTGTGCACCCTTGCGGTAAATTTAAATCCATGTCGTAAAACTTACGCATTCCTTGCACCCTGTGAACAAGCGCATTCCGGGAGCTTGAGGAAGCTTGACTGGGACAGCAGTTCCCAGAGGACAGTCACTCAAGCCGTCTTGGTACTTGGCTGCTGCTTTGCCAGGCTCACTAAGGCTCAGGTGGTAGACCCTTGAGGCAAGCAGTGGGGCTTCAAATTGCCACTCTACCCTTCAATCTCCGTGTGGTCCTGAGCAACACAGATGAGCTCTCTTTGCCTTAGTTGCCCCATCTATAAAATGGGGTGGTAATAGTCCAGTGTGCAGTGAACTGAACACAGCAAACCAGTAGAACAGGGAAAGTGCCCGAAGTTCTCCTGACTTCTCGGTCCTAGACCGCCTTAGGGCTGTTCTCCAAAAACCTCTCACTCAGACTTAATGAACTCGAGCCCAAACATTTAACTTTCAATGCCAGAGTGCATGGCCCCAGTACTGCCTAATAATGGCTCAACTCAGTCACCAGGCCAGTGAGAGCTTGAGCATGGTGCTTGCACCGTGAGGGCTGCCTGCCTGCAAAGGCAGCTATGTGGAAACTGGTTCCTCAAGCCATGGGATTCTCAGACCCCTGCTAGGAAAGAACCTGTGCATGGTCACTGCTCACAGTGTCCACTGCTGTCAGGGTCCTTTGTCCATTCTCTGCTAAAGCGTGAATGGCCACTCAGAATCAAGCAGCATCCCAGAGTTGCCCTGGGCCCCGTGGAAACCTCCTTCACAGGGCTCTGGCCTCTGCCTGCACCTCTGCGCCCTGGGGAAGAAAAAGAACCTCCCCTGGAGGTCCAGCGCTCTGCCCCGAAGCCCCAGGTTCAATGCCCAGACTTGGGGGGAGGGAGTTCCAGTGACGAGAGCAGGGTGTGGGTGGGGCTGAACAGAATCAGTGCGAAGACAGACTGATGCTATTCAAATATATGTCACTCTGTAAGCCTCCTTGGCTCCTACTCGGGGACCAAAACTGCATGTGGGGCGCATCTCTGTCATCCTGTCTTAGTTACCTTTCTCTCTCATTGCTAATACAAAATACCTGACACACAACACGAAGGAAGGAAAGGTTTATTTCTCACAGGTTGAAGGTTTCAATCCATATCCAGTTAACTCCAAGGCAAAATGAAATGACTGAGGCAGAACCTTTCATGGTGGCCTCAAACAGCAAGCACAAACAGCAAAAAGAGAGACATGCCTCCTTCTCCCCTTTACACTGTGTACTGGCTCCACCCCTGGGTGGGCACAGCACTCACACTACCAATCCAAGCACTAGACAACCAACCAATCACAAATGCTAGATTTGGCAGAGTCCATGATTGCATGGGGGGGGGGGCATCTGAACATAAATCATGGCACCTTGGTGCATGCAGCTCAAGGGACATAGGAGGCTCTGGGCTTGTTGAAGTGGCTGGGGTTGGTGGCAGCGGGTCCTGCAGTAGAGGCTCCTGCCTGCCTGTTCCTGGCCCAGAGCTTCCCTCTTCTTTCCCCACCTGGTGCTTGTTTAAGGCCTTCATGTTTCAGAACCCACTCCTCGCTGGGGAGTTGGTGCTCAAGGACACTCACTGTCAATAATGTTTGTTTTAAAAAGACACAACTGCCGTGTGTCACTCATCATGTTTTAATGCTTCAGAAACCAGCTGCTAAATAATCAGTGATGTCAAATTGTATATTTCTCCCATTGAGAAAGGAAAATTCTGATGGAAATCAAGAAATGTTTAGAATCAAATCACAGATGTAGCTAAAATGCTGCATGAAATTTTAAAGTCTTATAAAATATATATATTTAAAATGGACATTAGTGATCCATATGACCATCTGAACAAAAATTTAAAAGACACTGTTCAAATATATCAAGAAAGACAGAATAATATAGTTGAGAATATATAAGGGGAGTTGACATTTTTTTTAATTGGTACTGGGAATCAAACTCACGACCACACACTTGCAAGGTAGGCACTTATACAGCTAAGCTAAATCCCCAGCCCTCAAGGAGTTAACATTTTTGTTAGGTCATTTCACTGCCAAGGAGATTTGATACAATATTTGAACCAATTCTCACACAAGGAACATATTTACTATGTATCACAAAAGCATATACTAATTAAAAATTGAAATAAAATGCTAAATTTTAATTATCTGCCAAATGATATTATATCTGTTTCTGTTTGCTTGAGTTGTTATTTGAAATTAATTTTAATTAGAGCCAGTAAAATATTAATTTTGGTTATTGAAAGAGAAAAATAAGAGCCTACAATTTAAAATATAGGTCACTACATCATCTTTCTTCCATTTGTGAGCTGGGGTCACCAATCTGAGACCACAGCACCATTCATACTTTTTACAGCTGCTAGATTCATTGAATGAAACTGTTCTGGACAGGGCTGACGGGTGTCAGGTTGGCCCGGTAGGTTTTTACCAGTGCCCCTTACGACTTCCTAGTTAGGATGCAACTAAAGAGAATGACTGGAGCTGGGATGTGGGGGCCAGGACAGGCTGGGGTGACACCCTTCATTTTAAATTCCATTTCTTACCGCTCCCAGTTCCAGGAGCCTCCCTGTTTTGTACAGAGCCACCCTCAACTTCCAACGGGGCTACAACAGTGAGTGTTTCACCCTGAGTCTAAAATACTGTTTGGGCTTTTACAGAAAACTGTGCCAAACGGTCTCATTATTCTCTTTGATTCTCTTGTAAATATTGTCATTATGCACAGATTTAAAAATAAACTCCTAATAAAGGACTAGGTTTCTACCGCCCCTACTGGAGCACCTCAGGAGATTGCATCTTTGAAAAAAAAAAAAAAGGTAACACTGCTGATAATGCTTTGTGGCGTTGTCCAGGGTGAAATGACCCTCACCAGCAAATGGAAATGATTCTGCGAGGGAGCCCTGAGAGGGGTGACACCAGGTCGGCTGTGATAGGAGTAATGTTTAAAACCCAACGTTATTTCATTAGTTTTCATGCTTTGTGACAAAACACAGCCAAGGTGGCAGCCTTCCGGGAGTGGCTTTCTGTGCTGTAGAGCTCAAAGGTGGGCGAGGCTGGGGTGCAGCTCAGGTACAGCACTTGCTTTCGAGGCCTCGGGTCCCTCCCCAGCGCTAGGAAAGTATTTTTAAGAAACAAGCCGCTGTTGCGAAAGCCATAGACCAATTCCCTGACACAGTTGGTGGGGTGTTGTTCATACCAGCTGCCTTCCTGGGTCTGCTTTTCACACTTCGCAGAGAAAGCTGGATGCATTTCCGCGCCCACGGTGCTGTTGCCCTTCTTGGGCTGGCGAGCGCATGGCAGGCAGTGGAGACCCACGCCCCAGAAGACACTCAGCCACCCACTGTGTCTTTGCAGGATTTTCCCCGAGTCCCTGCGGTGGCTGATGGCGACCCAGCAGTTTGAGGCCTCGAAGAAGCTGATCCTGCACTTCACGCAGAAGAACTGCATCAGCCCAGAGAGCGACATCAAGGGCGTGATGCCAGGTGAGTACCGGGCAGAGCCGACCCAGCTGGCTGTGCAACGCCCTGTAACCCTGCTCCGAGCTGGGCAGCTTCGGCCACCGGGGTCTGAGGCTCAGAGTGAATCGCAGCTCACTGTGCTTTCTGAGTGCCGGCTTCTTTCATGATTGCATTCAACACACGCCATTCATCTGAGTCCAGAAGCGAAGTCAGAGCCTGAGGCATAGCTGGCCCTCACCAGGTGTGGGCCTGGGGCTGGGAACCTGCCAGAGCCCTGGCTCAGGCCTAAATGGCCCCACAACCAGTCTTTCCCCAAGAGTGGCCAGCGGAGAGCGGTCCCAGTCTGTCTCCCGCCGTGACCCATGTGCCAGGGAGTGGAAGGACTAGAAGACTGTCTTTGTGCAGTGCTTGGGTCCGAGGATATGTCAAGAATCAGGCACTGGCACCACAGTCCAGATGGGGCTCCAAGTAGGGAATCCTTGGATGACACTGGGAGGTGCTCACATCCACGCTGGTGGGCCCTCACCAGCACCTAGGAGATCTGAGTGGGCACAGATGAGTAGAGGTTCCAGTGTGAGCCTTGTGTGTAGCCACTGACCCTGATAGCCAAAGGCTCTGCCCCACCGTGACCTTCAGCCCTGGTGGACATCATGGCTGTGAAATTCCCAGGGAAAGCGATCCACAGCCCTTGTCTGAGAGAGTACGCACGATGGTCAGAGTCCTTGTGCTGACAACAGCTTCCTCAGCCTGCTGTGTCCACCACTGTCCTAGGGCAGAGAAGGAGGCGAGGGACCAGCCTGGCTCTGGGGAAGCGCACAGTCAGGGGCCAGTGAGGAAGAGAGTCACCAGCAGAGCACCAGAGAGGATGGCCGGTGACCACAGTCAGAAACCCCGGGTGGCCGGGCCCCAAGCTCCCGGAGGAAAGGACTTGGGCCAGCAGGGAAAAGGACTTGCGGAAATCGGAAATCGGATCAGAAGCCGGTGGCGCCTGGCCAAGCTTCTCAGCCAGACCCGATTAGGAGTCACTGGGCCCTGCATATCCGCCAGGCTCTGCCACATACTTCAGCCCTGCAGGGGTCAGGTGCAGGCTGTGGCTCCCACAGTGCTCAGGGCTCTGCCCTCCAGGGGCATCTGTCCTTTTTTAACCCAGGCAGTGATGACAGATGAGGTGATACTTGTTTGGTGCTGACATGGAAATGTGTCTCTTCCTCATTTGCAAGTATTAGCTCACAGTTAACCCTAAATGCTCTACACAAATTCCCGTTTCTTTACACCTGTCCTCTGGGAAGATGCTACCATGGAAATGTGGAAACTGAGGCACATAAAGCCTGAGTGGTGTGGCCAGAAGTCACACAGCTCCTAAGTAGTTGAGCTGGGACTTGAACCCGCTCAGTCCAGACGGAGTGGCTTCAATGAGCTGCTCTCAGAAATGAGGGAGATCTTGGAGATAGGCCTGGAAAGGAAGGAGAATTCCATGAAGGCTTCTCCGTGGGGTCCCAGGGCTCCCCTGAGCTTCTCCATCCCCTTAGAGAGCACGTTAAAGCTCTTGTCTCACAAGCCACTCCTCTCCGGGCTGTCCCTAACCAAATCTTCACACCCCGCTGCACTCACCATTCACGGTAAGCGGTGTGGGGAAAGCTTGTTTTCTCAATCCTAGTTACACTGCATCGTTCCCCTCCTGTTTTGGAGAAGGGCAGTGAGCTTTGTCTGCTTTCTGACTTCCAGGTTCTGTTGGTTCCAGCCTCTAGTTCTAGTCCAGATTCCTTGGCAGGAGGTTGGGCCAGGGGTTGCTTACACAGGCGACTTAAGAGGAGAGACAGATAGCTCTTTCTCCCTCCTTGGGGGGCCCCTCACTTCTGCCTCTGGCTCTGTGCTCACTCTGCTGGCAGAGGAATTAATGACAGCACTCTCTCTCCAGAGCAGCACATCTGCAGCTCTGGGTCCTCCTAGCCAGACCTGCTTTTCCAGCTCAGCCCCCCTCCCCCCTCCCCCACCCTCCTGTCCACTCAGCCCTCCCCGCCCCCCATGGCCCACCTGTTCTTCCCTTCCCCTCAGCCAGCCTCTGTCTGCAGCCAGAACAGACACCATCCGATCCCATTGACACCTGCTTGAAACTCTCGGTAACCTCCTGTGGGATGGATCCCCACAGCCCCCAGGTGGCCAAGGAGACCCCGCCCAACCTCCCCCAATTCTATAGGCCCTGCCTCAGGCCGGCTCCCGCCCCTCTCCCTGCAGCACCCACCCTGGGAGAGCCCTGTCCTCTCTGGCTCCCTCCTTGGCCAGTCCCTGGGAGTTCAGGTCCACCCTCAGTTTTGCAGTGTCACAGCTGTCCCTTCACCCTGACACTGCCACCCCCTACACCTGTCACAGAGAACTTGTAGAGCACCATATCAGCGCCTCTGTGACTGAGTCCTGACCATGGGTTTAAGCGCAGGGAAAACCTGATCTTCCCCGTCTCCACCCCTCTTTGAAAGCCAACTTCAGTCTGAGTCTGTCTGGTGGTCGCAGTGGTACAAATGGAGAATTGCTCTAGGTGCTGGGACGAGCTTCTGAGAGTCATTCTCACCATGTCCCATGTGGCGCCCAGGTATGGCAGCTCCCCGTCCTGGGTCACACTGCCCAGGACTGTGTACATTTTTAGCAGGCATGGAAGTCTCGCTGGTCCCACACGTGGCCCTGTTGGCTGCAGCCCACTGAGGAAGAACCCTGGGATGAGAGCCCCTGCAGGGGAGGGGTTCTCCCTACTTAACAGATAGGGGTGGGGCCCCAAGAGGGTGGGAGGAGACAGACTCCCAATGCCAAAGTACCCCTACCAGAAGAGCCACGCTGGGGACAGACACACTGCCCTTTTTCTCTTGGGGACAGCTGTGTCCTTCTGCACTGAGCCCTCTTTGGGGAGCCATTGCTGGAAAAGCAAGCCTAGCCCCAATACCAGGCTGCAGGGTTGGGATCTGTGTAGTGCAAACCACCCTCTTGCAGCCCACACAGGGCTCCCCCTGCCTGGGGAGCTGCAAGGAGCCAGGATTCACCCTCACCTGCCTCTCGAAGTCTTGACAAGCAGGTGCCAGGATCAACCACCCCAGTGTCCTGGCACTCACAGAGAGGAAGCAGATCTGAACCCAGGTCTGGGCATCTGACCCCTCTGGTGCATGACTTTCACACCTCAGGACAGAGGGCTGGGATGGGGGAGCCTGTGTGTCCTGAGACAGTGGTGGAGCTTCTCCATGCCAGGCTGGTATACAGATGTGAACTGACATTGAAATCCTGCTGGCTGAGCTGATTTATGATATAACCCACAGTAAAACTCCGAATGTACACTTCCAAAGGACCAAGTGCCACTGCCCGAGATGCACACCAGAGGGGAGAGAGACGCCTTCTCCATTTCTAACCATAGGAAGGCTTAGGGCCACTGTCCCAGCTTCTGCCGCACCTCCTGACTGTGGCAGTGGCCGCAGCGCCTCCTCTTACTTCCAAACTACACTTCATAGGTATGGACAGGTAGGGGAGCAGAGTATGTGCAGGTCTTGGTGCCCTCCAGGGGTTCAGGCAGCTGCTGCTGTCCATGCTGTGTGGCTAAGGACGGACCCCTGTGTCCCTGAGCCCAGCACCTATGTGTTGAGTGGTGCTGCCCTGCGGACACATGTAGGAAGGTGTCACGGCATCCTGAGCCTTGCACCTGGTGATGCCACCATGGCTGCTGACTGCTGAGTTCAGGAGGCAGAGGTGGCCCCGCAGAGGAAGAAGAGGCTGAGAAAGAGCTGTCATTGCTACAAGTTACAAGAAAAAGGTGCACAATAAGAGATTAACAGTAACTAATAACAGAACAGTTTAATGGCACAGTGTAATAAAAGGCACATGTAACTCATGAATTATTTCTAGAATTTTCCATTTAATATTTTCAGACCATAATTGACCTTGGTAACTGGGTGTTGGAGGACATGCACAGCTTTCCCAGCAAGACTAACAAGGGGCGTAGAGCCCAGCAAGGCAGACCTTCCCCATGCCCAGACCTCGGGCACTGACCACAGGAAGCTGAGGACACAGAGGGGATCAGGGCTGGGCTCACCTGGTGGGTCCAAATTAACAAGCTCTGCTTGTGTTTTGACTTGAAATCTTTCTGATGGCTCTAAATCAAGAAGATTGAAGACTGTGGAGGGGGGAGGAGGGGCAATCCTTGACAGGGCTGTCTGCCACACACATCTGACGGACGTCTGGGTGCCTGGTGCCACTCTGTCTACTTCTACGTGTAATGGGTTTGGAAAAGCACCCAGCTTCCATCAGCTAAGGAGAGAGGCAAACAGGGCTCTCGGACCCACAGACTTCATAGGGCCTCTGTGTGACGGATGCTACTCAGAACGCAGAGCAGTGGATTTCACCCCATAAGGACGCATGTGGAGCTGCAGAAGTTTTGTATTGCCTGATGGAACAACACATCGACAGCCCCAGAAAGGTTAACTGAGTTCCACTTAGAATAAATAATGTGGTTACCGCTGGAGTCTACAGTAAATCCTTAGACTGGGCTCTAGGGTTTAGTGTTACTTAAACAAATAATCCAGGTCGTAATGTAATTACTGCAGATCTAATGTGGCATTTTGTGCACAGTAATGCACTAGCAGTTGAGTGCGGGCCATGTTAAAGACCAGTGGACACTCACCTTCATTTCCTTCTCAGAAGGTCGGCCTGATAAGGAAGTGTGACTATCATGGGTGATTTCCGATGATTTCCTCACCACAAAGACCCCAGACGTTGGGCTAAAGGTATCTGTTAACCAGAGGCCAGGCTCTTTACAGACACAGTCACGTGCCACATCACAACACATACACAGCTGTGGGACTGTCGAATTGTAATGGAGCAGAAAATTCTCCACACACTGTGCTGTCATAAAGTCACAGCGCGACACAGTTCTCACGTTTGTAGTGAGGCTGGAGACCTCAGGCCCACTTCACTGCCAGTCGTACGAGAGTCTGCACTCTACAGCGCATGACGTGTGATAATGCACGACCGTGTTCCTGGTTCTGCACTCACTGTATTATGGTTGTGTCATTGTTTATCAGAAAGAAAAGGCCCCCTGCAAAATAGCGGCCACACCCATTGTGTTTCTCTGCATTACCCTGGGACCCCGAGTACCACCTGAGTTTGTGTGGGGCACTCTGTGATGTTCAGATGATGACAGAAACACCTAGCGGCACAATTCGCAGACTGTCTCCTCCAGCCCTGTCACCAGTGACTGCTGGCCGTATTTACTGAGTTAATGTGTCTGCGAATCAGATGTGCCTGTTTCTGCTGAGCACGGAGACCGGCCAGGAGGCTTAGGGCGGGGAAGGTCTGGGCATGGGCAGCTGCCTTCTAGCTCTTGTGACTATGCACAGATCTGGTCCTCTATGCCTTGAACTGGGAAGGAGGACCCATCATGGTCTCCTCCTGACCGAGGAAAGGCTTCCCCCGCTCCCTTCCAGCCCTGTGTGGTGACACAAGTTGAAACTATTGTTTAAATAAATTCCTCAGCCCCTATTTGTAAGCAATGTATTTCTTCTTCAAACTGTAAAGAAGGAGGTTTGTGACAGATACGACAGGAGAGGAGAGAGAACCTTGGCAATCCCGCACCAGAAGTGGCTCTCAGAAGCAGCAGTGTGGGCTCCTGGGTGGTATTTCAGGGGTGCATACCTAGGGGAGCAAGGGGGGCTCCTTTCAAGGCAGCAGCCCTCACCCCTGACAGCTGTGAAGCATTGGTTGGAGGATCCCCAACATCTGCTGGTGCCTGAGGCCTTGTGTGAGCGGTGTCGTGTTTGCCTGGAACCTGCACCCAGCCTCCTGCGTGACTTCAGTCTGTTCTAGCCAGCCTAACTCGATGTCTGTGCTTTAGGGAATCGTGAGATGAAGTCTGCGCATGCTCAGTATGGATGCCTTTTTTTGTTTTTTTTTTTTCAAGTATTTTAGATCCTTGCTTGGTGAAATCTAGAACACAGATCCTACAGACATGGAGGTTGGACTGTATAAGTTTCAAGCCCTAAAGTTTTCCTGGGTAGATAGAGGCAGGACATTTTTATTTATAGTACATTTCTTACTGGAGGGTAATTTCGTACTTACGGGGAAGTTGCCAAGACAGCGCAGAACTCCCGAACACCCGGCTCAGCCTCCCCAGGGATCGGCCGTGATCCAGTGTTTCCACCACACGTTGGCAGCAGTGGTTAGAAGTGGGGACCACAGCTACTCTAACTCCAGGGACTGCGGCGCTGGTTTCCCGTGAGTGGGCTGCGCAGGGTCCTCCCCTGTGCCTGAGGCCTCTGGTCCGGGACACTTTCTCAGTCCGCCCTGCTTGCCCTGACTCTGTAACAAGGTTTGCAACGGAAACTCATGCTGCCCTGTGCTGGGTGCCGGGGTGCCCATCCAGGCTCCATGAACTGTGAAGTTAGAGTCCTGGGAGTCCCGGAGCCTAGACACTGGCCCCGGCGCCCTCTCCACGCTGCCTAGCCTCACCCTGTCTCTTGCAGAGCTGGAGAAGGAGCTGTCGCGGAGGCCCAGGAAGGTGTGCATCGTGAAGGTGGTGGGGACCCGCAACCTGTGGAAGAACATCGTGGTCCTGTGTGTGAACTCGTGAGTCCCGGGACGCCTTGGCCGAGTCTCCGCCTCTTTTCCACCCAGGCTAGACATGCCTGGGCCAACTGGCTGTGACGGGTGACAGGGAATGTGACACTGCCCACCATAGCCAGCTGTTTGTGGTCCGAAGGGGGAGGGGCTGAGGATGTCCACCGCCCCACCCCCACCCCAAAGCTTCCTGTCCTGAGCAGGGCTGGGGCTCCCAGGTGCCTTGGGCAGGACGAAGGCAGCCTCTCCCCATGCAGCCCAGCCTGCTTCGAGGCCCCCACACAAGAGTAGCTGTAGAGGGTGGTTGGTCCCCTGACCCCAAGCACGTGCCCAGATGCCCCCCGAGCCTCCTGCACTCAGGGGTTCTTAGAAGCCCCTGTCCGGGGCCTCAGTGTGAACCCGCAAGGTCCTTCCTGCCTCAGCTCTCAGATCAGCAACCCTGCCTTCCTGGCTGCTTGAGGCAGACCCTCTCTCAGGGTCAGAGGTCACATGGGGTGGTTAGCTTCAGGGGGTCAGAGGTCACCCAAGGGAAAGGCTTTGTAGTTTTTTGTGAAAGGTCTCAGGGCTGCTTTCAGGTAGAGGCCTAAGAGTGGGGCCTCCATTTCCTCCCAACTCCTTTCCGTCAGAGTATTCCAATCAGTTCTTGATATTGGGGTTCCAGATTGTTTCCTGTTGGCAGGATACAAAAAGCCTCACTGCCAAACAACACCAGAGCAAAGACCCAGTCACCTTCTGGCCTCTCCACCCTCCGTTGAGGTCAGGCGCAGCTCCCTCAGTCACCTCCCTGCCCAGGTGGCCCTGAGCACCATCACCAGGCTGCGGCCCAGTCCCAGGAGGCGCTGGCCAGGCTGGTGGTGCTATCAGGAAGGGAATGGCTTCTCCAACTTAGAGGTAAAAAAAGAACTGGCACCAAGAAGATGGTGCATTTCCATGTTAGGGATTCCTGTGAGAGGAGAGGGAATCAATCTCCCTGGCTCAGTTATCCTAAAATTACCTGTTGTGGTCAGAGTTTCTCATCTCTCCCAGAACAAAAAAGGGTAGACAGCCCAGAGAGCTCAGCAGGCCAGGAAGAAGAGAAAAGCACGCAGGATCTCAGGAGACCAGCCGTGTTGGCTCTGTTGCTGGGGTAAAACAGTTGCTCAGGGGAGCTGGGTCCCCCTGGAAGGTCAGCCTGGGGCTTCCCACGGCAGGGGGCAGGGTCTGCTACATTTGACCTTGGTTCATGCTCAAGGTCGGATGAAAAGCCCTCGGATTTCCCCACAGCATGAGGGGATTGTTTGGAGATGGAGGCGTCTTAAGCTCTGGGTGGACACCCTAGGGCTGGCCCGGGAATGGGTTCTCCTGGGGCCACAGGTGTGCCTCACCCAGCTACGTCCCAGAGCACCCGGCAGAGCCCACATCACCCACTTCCCTGGGCTCATCTCCATGCCTGTCCTCAGCTTGGCTGTGCATGTGGCAAGGGAGATGCTGGCCTCCCTGCAAAGTGACGCTCACCGACGGCAAGAAAGGGCCGGATGCAGGCTGTGAGAGGCAGCAGGGGCAGAGTAGGAGCCGAGACCTTCATGCAACACTGGGGCTGCCTTTGGTCTGACTGCCGCCTGTCACGGTTGAGCAGCAGCAGATAAGGGCAGAAGAAATAGCTCTCTAGATGTATTCTCGAGCTTCCAGGACACTGAGTGCCCCAAGGGGAGGCAGGCATCACAGAGGCCGCCCTGCCCAGCTGGGATCCACTCCCTAGCTATTGCTCACCTGGGAAGCAGGTACAAGGGTGGTTCCCACAGTGTGGCCCTGGCTCTGAGTTCGTGCACAGTGGATGCTTCTCCAAGGCCTTTTCTGTCACGTTTTACTCCATTCTAGGCTCATGCATGGGGACAGCGTGCTTCTCCCTCACACACTCAGTTGCTCCTCCCTTTCCTGGTCATCAGGAGATGGGGCAGCCTGGAGTCCATGCACGCCACCCACTGTCCCACTCCGTGTGTCCCCCACAGGCTGACGGGGTACGGGATCCACCACTGCTTTGCAAGGAGCATGATGGGCCACGAGGTGAAGGTGCCACTGCTGGAGAACTTCTACACCGACTACTACACCATGGCCAGTATCGCGCTGGCGTCCTGCCTGGCCATGTGCGTGGTGGTCAGGTTTCTGGGGCGCAGGGGCGGCCTACTGCTCTTCATGATCCTCACCGCCCTGGCCTCCCTGCTGCAGCTTGGGCTCCTCAACCGTGAGTGACCAGAGAGGGGATTGGTGAGAGGGTACAGGGTGGGGAGCTGGTGAACCACTGAAGCGGGTTTGGAGGTGCACTGTTTTCTGTTAATGGTAACAAAATACCAGGGTTGAGTAACTTAAAAAAGAGGAAAGGTTGGCTTTGGCTCATGGTGTTACAGGGATCAGTCCATGATCAGTTGGCATTGCTTTGGGGCCCATGGCAGAGGCCCCATGTCAAGGCAGAAGCATGTGGTACCTCACAGTGACTGAGATACAAAAGAGAGTGGGAGAGGAGGGGCCAGCGCCCCACAGTCCCCTTCAAGGGCACCCTCACTCACCTAACTTCCTCCCACAAGGCCTTACCTTTTAAAGTTCCCACTACCTCTCAATAACTAGAGATCTGTTCAATACGTGGGCCTTCAGTGGACACTGGAGATCTAAACTATAGCACAGTAGCCGCGAAAAGTATCCCATGGCCTGAGCAGGCAAAATTCACAGCTTGGAGAAACAGCTTTGGCAAAGATGGAGCTTAAACCAGCATCGCTGAGCTGTGCCTTCGAGGGTCCTGGGTCCTCCTTCCCCTCCTGCAGCCCTGCTCAAAGCCTCCCAGCTGTATGGTGACTTCCAGCACACCAGGCCTGCAGGGTCCAGTAAAGGTGACTTCACTGGAATAGTCTGTCTCATGGGATTCATCACATGACAAAGAACAAATGACGTGTTTCCTTTGTGCAACTTTAAGGGGAAAATGAATCGGTTTTAACATTTCACATGGGGTCCTGACTTTCCATAGATTTTCTCAAATTGTGCAACTTCTCCTTGAACCCAAGAATGTCTCAGTAAATGTTAGAAATAATCGAACCAGCCCCTCCAGCAAGCTCAGGGTAGCTGCTCATGAAATATGCCAGCCTCTGTACATGCAAGCAGCTTTTGGCCTCGCCAGCTAATCACTGGGCCACCTTCTCATGCCTCGGGCACTGGGGAAATCTACACCATGAGTGCCCGCTTTGATACAAGGAGATCAAGCCCCAGTTGCCAGGATTAGACCTCGTGCCTGCCCCTCTGTGCCCATGAGAAACAGCCTTGTGCAGACAGTGACAGATGAGCTCTTTTCAAACTCCAAAGCCATTTTTCCAGCTCAGGCAAACTCCTGAACCTCCCATGTTTGCTGAGAGACTGATCCAATTTGCAGTTGGACCCAGTCATGGAAATGGACAATGGTGTCCATCTCCCTGTGTCGCTCGATAGCTGTCCTTCCAGGGAGCCTTTGCCCAGCTCACAAGGTTAGGATGGATGTGGCAGGGAGCCCTTAGCCCCAGGTGGCCCACAGCAGGAATGCCACAGGAATTCTGGGCAGAATGCAGGGAGCTGTGAAGAACAGAGCTCAGGGGAGGCAGAGACAGAGCCTGGCGTGTGCAGCCCTGCGCTGCCTGTGTGCCTTGAACACACACTTCGGGGGTCCTTGATAAGTTTATATGCCAGAAAATTCACCCCGAGACCGAGAGCGTCTTCCCTGAAGGGCTGCAGTATCTCCCAGGCTCTGAGGTCTGCAGGGCTTCTGCCCTCCTTCTTAAAGAAGCTCTTTGTTTGGCCCAGTGTGAACTCCAGTGCTCGGGCCTCGGCACCAACCCCGACACTCTGGGCACTCGCTTGGCCACAAGTCAAGTGGGCACACGCAGCCACCACCCACACTAACTCCCTTTCTCCTTCTCTTCCCTCTCTCATCATCCTTCCACCCGTGGGCGCTGTCCCTCCCCCCTGCCCAGTGATCGGGAAATACAGCCAGCACCCAGACTCAGGTGAGTCCCGATTCCCTCGCACCCTTGTCTGCCCTGCGGTCCCATGGGAGTTTGCAGAAAGAAAAACTGACTGCTTTCGTTTCCTCTCTCTTCTCCCTTCTTTGCCCTCCAAGAATTGCAGCTGAAGTTGGCCGTAGGTTGGACACTATAAGCTCACATTTGTATTCTCTGCCCCTCTTGCCGCTAGAGAAAGCGACTCGCGTTGCCCGTGCTGTGCAGCTTGGCACGCATGCGTTCCCTGTCCCCGGAGCCAGTGCAGCACCAGCACGGTTGGTCCCTGGGACAGAGCCCGGTGGGAGCAGAAGCCCCAGGAGTGCTGGGCTTGGCTGGCTGTGCTGTCTCAGGCTCGCCGTCCCCATCCCGGGACAGCAGAACCACTGGGCTGCACCTCCCGCTGCTGCTGCACAAGCCAGCCCCCCGCAAGCTGTGCACCCCCCTCCACCCCACCCTGGGGTGCTCGGCCAGGCCCAGGTGTGTGGCCCCCAAGTGCATGCGCTGCACTGAAGCCGCCTGTGCACCCGGACTCCAGTGCCAGTGCCAGGCACTGGTTCGGCTAAGCACTTTCCTGCCAGGCCTGTGAAGTCCTCTGTTTCAGTTATTTGTGTTTTTGACCAAGACCCCCACCCTGGCTCTGCGGGAAAGCCTGAGGCTGAGTGGCTGAGGCTCGCTGGCCCGGAGGACAGCATGGAGAGGCCACGCACCCTTGTTGGGCTCCACTACTGGCCTGGGCACGATGGCAGGCCACTGGTAGCCTGGGCATGCTTGGCATGCAAGGGGCTCACAGGACAGGTGTAGGTCCCACCGAGCCAGGAAGTGGGGGTCAGTCCCGTCCCCTTCACTCACCCCAATTCTCCTGTCTCCAGGGATGAGTGACAGCGTGAAGGACAAGTTCTCCATCTCCTTCTCCATCGTGGGCATGTTCGCCTCCCACGCTGTGGGCAGCCTCAGCGTGTTCTTCTGCGCAGAGATCACCCCCACAGTGATAAGGTGAGTGACGGGGCCCTCAGGAGTCCACGCCAGCTCTGCCCATCCTGGCTTCTGAGCCAGGCCTGAGCGGACGGCTCCCTGCGGGTGGCCAGGTGAGCGCTGAGCCAGGCGCCATGGATACAGGGCGCTCTTCCGTCAGGAAACAAACCCCGCAGTGACCGGAAAGGAGTAGGGTCTAAGCTGCTCACAGCCTGCACGTCTACCAAAATCAGAGCTCCTAATCCTTCCAAGAGACCTCGGGAACAAAGCTACTTCAAAAGAAGAAAGGAAGCAGGCACCTGTAATCCTAGCCATTGGGAGGCTGAGGCAGAAGTTCAAGGTCAGAATGAGCGGCACAGTGAGACCCTCAGCCCAAAAGTACTTAAGAAAGTAGCCAGGACCTGTCACTTACTGGCCAGAGAAGTCAGGGTCACTAATCTAAAGGACGGTCCCCAAGAGGCCCAGTGAGCTAGACCGCAGAGATAGGGAGAAGATCCACTGAGAGCCACGAGGAGCCAGGTCCCGCCTGCCCGTAGCACGGCACCGGGCCTGGCGGAGCTTGCCTTAGCCCTGCTTCCAGGTGGGTGTCGTGGACATCGAGTGCTCAGCACTTTTTAACTCATAACAGGGAATTCCCCTTCCCAGAGCGCCGGGTACACGGCCGATGTGATTTAAAGTGCTTATTTAAAAGCGCGTTTATTACCTAACTGTAGTCAGCTGGTTCCCTGATGCAGGCTGAACATTCCTAATCTGAAAAATGTGAACTCAAAAATGCTCCAAAATCTAAAACTTTTTCCCCACAAGTTTATACCATGAAACTTCCTTTTCATGAACAAAATTATTAAAACTGACCTTTGGTGCATGCATGTAAACGTAGATATAAATTAATTTGGTGCGTAGACCTGGGTCTCATCTTCGAGACAGCTCATTAGGTATATGCAAGAATTCCCATGTGTGCTGGGGATGCAACTCAGCTACACAGCCCCTGCCTGGCAAGCACAAGGTTCTGAGTTCCATTTCCGGCACCAGAGAAAAGAAAAACAAAAAAAAGAATTTTCCAATCTGAAACATTTCAGATCTAAAACACGTGTGACCCCAGGCACGCTGGGTAAAAGGTGTTCCGTGGGCTTACTGTTGGTGTCTCGCTCGCTGGGGGCAGAAGCTGACCGGCATCGTGGGGGTTATGAGCACTGCAGACGCTGTGCCTCCTGGGGATGAGGTCCTTCTGCAAGCAGGGAGCCCAGGAATCCAGTGACAGCAAGGATGATGCCTTTCGGAAGAGCAAGTGGGGGTGCTGGGGTCCCAAGGGGGAACCAGAGAGGCATGGTCCTGTCCGAGTTTCCAGGAGGCAGGCTCTGCAGGTGACCTCGTTATAATTTGTTCTCTTGCATTTTTACCATCCAAGTGTGGCCTAGCTACCCCATTCCCCAACGAAAATGCTGAGGTATTGTAAGTTTAAGAAAAAAGCAATTCAGGGCCCAGAAGTCTGTCCCAGCCACTTTAAGAAGGTGGCAGGAGCTCATTAGAGGCCTGCAGCTGTATGGATGCATGGACACTTGGTGACTTCCTCTGTGGCCTTCACCCAGGCAAACCTCTTCCTTTACAAAAGAATGCAGCAGAGATGCATCTCTCACTGAAGCCAAGCCCAGGGTGGGTTGGCTTGGCTCCGGTTTCCTGCTGGCCCCTGGCAGCCATCCAGCATGTGTCTGCCCCCGGGGAGGCAGCATGGACCTCCAGTGGCTGTCGGCCCCCTTACCCATTGTCAGACATCGAGCAGCAAACCAGTTGGAAGGAAACGAAATACCCTCTTCCTCTGCCATGCAGACCTGGAAAGATTATTTCAGGATAGGGATTCAACAGTTTCCCAAGATGACCAATTTGAAAAGATATCTGACCCGGAAGGGCAGGGCACTGACTCCTGGGGCCCAGCCAGGCTGGAAGGTGTCCATGGCCTCCTCTCACCCACAGCCTGTGGGAGTCCCTGGGGTGGACACAAGCTTTCCCTGCGCTTATGCACAGAGAAGTCCACAGCCAGCATTCCCTTAATGCAAAACTCGCCTTTTCCACAGTGCTGTCTGTGTTAATAACAGAGAAAGATTTCTGAGCAAGAACAGTAACAGAGACCAAAATGCCAGAGGGTCAGGGATGTAGCCCAGCATTTGTTTAACATGGCTGAGGCCCTGGGTTCAATCCTCCAACCACCAAAAGGAAAAAGTTCTCAAATATCTAGGTGGGTGTGGTAGCACACACCTGCAATCCCAGCACTTGGAAGGCTGAGGCAGGAGGATTGCCTCAAGTTGAGACCAGCCTGGACTATAGAGTGAGACCCTGTCTCAAAAAACTAAACAGAACTGCCAGAGGCAATTGGACATGTGTGCAAAGTTAGAAAGTTCTCTGCACAGGTGCTTATAAAAATCCATCATCCAGATGACAGAGACCAGGTGGAGTTGAATCCTGCTTTCTGAGATGGTGTCCAGGTTTTGGTGACAGGGACCATGGCCTGCTGCCCTGGCCCTGTCTGGACACTGTTTCCCATCCTCCATACCACATTGGACAGCCCCATGTCTCCCGCCCCCCTGGGGTGGGTGGAAGTGGCCCTGGGATCCTTCATTGCTCTGGAGGCGACTAGTGGCACTTCCATGACAGGAGCACTGTCCACTGTCCACTGTCCACCTGGAGGCCGCAGCAGGGGTCCGCAGGTGCTTGTCTGCATGGTTCCTCATACAGCCCTGGTGCCAGCTGCCCAGTCCCTGCGCACCCCTGGGTTCTTCTGCCTCCCACCCTGCTTGCCACCGTGCAGGGGGCTCCCCAACTTCTTCCCTACCTGTGCAGCCCAAGAGGCCCCGCCTCCAGCTGGGCTCAGCATCTGTCCTCTCACTGTGCCTTCTAGAACCTGCTTTTAAAGTGCATGCCTTAAAAACAAGCAACAGTGGGGAGGGGCACGAGAGGCCCACACGTGCCCCACACCCACGGCTCTGCAGTGCGGGCACCACAGGAAGAGGAAGCCGGATGTCGGCGACTGGGACCTCCAGTCTTGGGCTGGTGGGACCCAGAGGCCACACATGAGTCCCCAGCCAGCTCTGATATCTCTGCCTCCTGGTGACGCAGATGACATCTGCCTTGTCAGGTGGTGAGGAAGGGAGAGAGGAGGGGACAGGCATCCCTCAGTGTCTGCCGGCTGTGATTGGGGAGTACTGGGAGACAAAGGTGTTTGTCCCGAACATGCAGGGGCCTCCTTTGGGCTGTTATTTTCCACGTGACACCATGTGACATGTAGCAGTCGAAGTGACCAGGAGGTTTAAAGTCTCCCGAGGAAGGTGCCTGTAGGTTCTGTGTAAATCCCACCTGACCTCATACGAGGGACCAGAGCATCTGAGGGCCTTGATGTTCAGGGGGGCCCTAGAGCCACACCCAGCGTCCCCGAGGTGGGACTGCATGTAGTGAAGGACACTGCCTGCACACAGGGAAGTTACATTTCTCCAATGATCGTCACAAATATGTTCATTCCTGACTTCACACAAATGTCAAGGCAAGAAGCCTACAGGAAGAAACCAGAAGAGAAAAGGTTGAGGTCAGGTGATGCCCACGCGTGGACCAGCACTGAAGCTTCTGCCGAGCTTAACTCTAAGTCTGCCTGCGTATCATCTTTCGGACCTTCATGCTGTCCAGATAGTGTTACTGGCAAAACACAGATACATGGCATAGTCAAATTGCGCTTCTAAAGCACCAGGGAGGAGAGTGTGCCCCTCCCTGTCACCTTCTGTCCTAACCCTAGGTACTGCAGGGGTCTCTCCAGTAGAAGCACGGTGTGGCCTGCCCTCTAGTGGCAACCTGCAAAAATGCCTAGCCACGGTCTGCATTTTGGTAAAGGTTCTTTGTCCATCAAAATTGTCCTAATATGCCAGGATTTTGAGGGATCCCTCCCCCAACTTTTTTTTGTTTTTTGAACTTCAGGTTGAGCAAAAGCCTGCTGTACTGAGCTGAACTCCAGCCCTTTTTGTTAAATCTTGAGATGGAACCTAAACTGCCTGGGCTGGGCTCAGACTTGTAATCCTCCTGCCACAGCCTCCTTGCGTATTGGGATGTTAGGTGCCGCCATGCCCAGCTTCAAGGACTCTGGTAGAAAACCAAATGAAATCATGCTCGCAGGCATCACTTAACCACAGGGAGTGTTCTAAGTGTGTCATTGGATGACATCATGGTCATGTGGACGTCCTGGGGTTCCAGGACAAAGCCTGGATGGTCTAGGTCACTCGTGAGACAGGAGGGGACCACAGATACATGGAACTGCCACTGCTGTCACACAGCCCACTGTGCTGGAGGTAACTTTTGGAAGTAGCCAGAGTCCACTCCAAATTAACACTAACAAGTCCAGCTTAGTAAGTCTACGAGCCTCCAGCAACGTTAAGCATCGCATCCTATGTGTAACTGTGTGTTATCCGTCTCTGTCCCTGGTGGCATGGTGGGTATTTCTGCCAACATCCTTACAGACACACTGTGGCATCACAGTGACTGCAGTGTCACCAGGCGATGGGAACGTCCAGTTCCGTTATAATCTCATGGAGTCCAGCGGTGTCCAGCTGTCACTGGCTGAGACACTGTTACACATCTGTGACTGTATCCCTGTCACGTGAGCTGATGAATATATGTGCCATGTGCACACAGAGGGTTTTCTAAATGAGCCACAGACTAAACATGTCACCTGCCAGGGCTTATGAACACCATGCATGCATTCACACTTCTGGCATAGTGGCAGGAGACCCGGGGTCTCCTCTCAGGGTCTACACGCCGCCTTCCTATGCAGCAAGGGTGCTGCCCACACTCAATGCCAGGAAGGGCAGGTGGATACCAGGGAGCTTTCAGAGGAATGGGTGTCATACTGGTTCCGACAGTACTGAACAAATATACCCGTTACTGTCTGATTACCTCACTCCCTCCAACCCAGGGCTTCCTGATAGGGCAAATTTATCAGCAGCCTGGAGAGGCTGTTTTAGGTGCGCATATGATTCTCCTGAAAAGTGGACATGACCTCGGTGCTCTTGGTTGTGGTCAGCTATATTTAACCTGTCCCGTTTGCTCGGGTGGCCGGAACTGCCTACCTCAGAAGCCAGGGTAATCCATAGCATCCAACATTTATTAATAAGCGGTGCCTGTCAGTGCTATAGAAAATGCTCCCTGCCCTTGAAGGCGTAAGGACATCAGAGGCTCATGATCCTGGACCTTCTGTCTGGAAACGGGATTGGCATCTGGGAGATGCCCCCAAAGGTACTACACCTTCTCATTTGCATCCTTGGTGGGCCAGCGGTCACCAGTGCAACTTCCACACAGAGTCTACAGGCCAGTGGCACAGCCTTGCCAAGTGCCCAGCTTGGGGCTGGGGACGGAAGGAGCCTCAGACTCCACAGACACTGGCAGGACCCAGTTCTCTGTGGGTCATGGACAGAGGGGTTGGCTCCCTGAAGGCTTCGGCCAGGGCCACTGTGGTCCTTGTCACATGAACCTTGACAATGTGCCACATGCCAATGGCAGCCAGCAGGTTGCTCCCAAGCTCACTCACCGTGGCTGGGTCACAGAGAGGACATCTCATGGCCTGTGCTGTGCTACACTGTCAGGAAGTGACCAACTTGTCCTTTGAAGTCGAGCCCAATCCACACTCAAGGCACAAGAGGGGATGGTGCAAGAGGAAAAGCAACCATGGGACCTTCTCAGCGACCTGACCACAGTGCGGGTGACACTCTGGTAGCATCCGGGTCTCAGGCTGTGTCTGGGTTGATGCTGGGGACAGGAACTGAGCCACCCTGGTCTTGCCCTTGAAAGCCTCTGAAGTCAATCAGAGACACAGAGAGGCACAGTGAGTGTCCTGGGGTGATGCCAGGGTGTCCTGCAGCTGCCACAGGAACACCTGCAGGGGCGAGCCTGACCCAGCACCGGGCCACTTCCCAGTACCAGTGAGCTGGTGGAGGTGAGGTAGGGACCCTCCTCTGCTTGGCCTCACTGAGAAGATCCCAGGTACAGCAGGACACAACCCTGGCCAGAGCAGCCACAGTGGCTGTGGAGAGGGCAATGGGGACAGTCCCTGGGAGTATGGCTGCCTGGATGCAGGACACTGTGAGACCCTGTCCCAGCAGGAGCCAGCTGGGAGTTTGGGGGTTGCCTTCGCAGCATCTTCGAGCTGTAACTATGTACCCCACATGCATTGTTTAAAGCTTACAGGTCACTGACAGAATCAGTTTATAACACAGGGCATCCATGGCCACCGTCTAGTTCTGTGACATCACCTCCAAAAAGCCCTTGGGGGCCCTTTGCATTCAGTCCTTGACCTCACCCCCAGCCCCGAGCAGTTACTCATCTGCTTCCCATCTCTGCGGCTCCGCCCTTTCTGACATTCATACAAATGGCATCAGAGGGTCCCTCGGCCTGTTCTTACAAGTCACCCGTGGTGTAGCGGATGTCAGCGTCTGTTCCTTTCCATAGCTGACTGCATCTTCCCTGCTGCCACGTGCCTTCCTTTACCCACTCACCAGCCCACAGGCACACAGGCTGTTAGGGACAAGCACTTGCCTGTCTGTTTACTACGGCTGTGTTCTCCACCTGTTCCACTGTGGCATTGCTAGTTACATAAAAAGTGATGTTTAGCCTTTTAAGAAACTGCTGATCTGCTCTCCGAAGAGGCTGCCAGCAGTACAGTCCAGAGACTTGCATGGCGCTCTGGTTTCTCTGCGCTGTGCTCAGTGTGCTATTTATTCTCTCTTTCATTACAGTTCTCCTCCTAGCAGGTGCGCAGTGGTGTGGAACTGTGGTTTCGATTTGCATTTTTCTAATGAGGAATAATCTCGTGCTTCTTTCTGTGTGTTGTTGGCCATCTGTGGTTTGTTCAGTTTCTTTGGGGAAAATGTCTGTTGCACTCTCTTGCCCACTTTTTAAATTAGGTTGTCATCATTTTTATTTAGAGCCCATTATATATTCTGGATACACACCATTTATCAGTTATTTGCTTTGCAAATGTTTTCACCCAGCCCAGGTCCTGTCTTTTCCCCTCCGGGGGCATGTATCCTTTAAAAGGTGGACATTGTTCATTTCTGGGGTTTTTGTTTGTTTTTGGTACTAGGAATTGAACTCAGGACCTTGCCCTTGCCAGGCAGGAGCTTATGCACAGGCTACATCCCCGGCTCGACATTTGTAATTTCAGAGCAGTCCAGTGAGTCAACTTGCTTTTCTGAATCCTGCTTTTGGGGTCGTGGCCAAGAGCACTGGCCGACCCTGAGCCACACAGATTCCCTTTTATGCTTTCTTATAAAACTGCTGTGATTTTAGCTCTCACTCGCAGGCTCTACATTCATTTTGAGTTCCAGCTTCCTTCTTTTGCACGTGATTATCCCAACACAGCGCTGCCTGTTGACAGGACCAGCCTTCCCCCACTGAATTTGCTTTTGGCAGACATCATTCAGAAGTGTAAAGGCTGGTTTCCGAGCCGCCGTTCTGTTCCGTGGATCTGTCTGCGGGCAGAGCAGCACGGCTTTGTCCCAATTAACGTGGCTTCAGAGGATGTTTTGAATTGGGAAGGTAGCTCTTCCAGCCTCGTTCTTGTTCTATCTGTGGTGTTTCTCTGTAAGCACTTTAGCCTCCTTTTCAGGTAGTTTGTAGCCACATATAGACACCCGGGTAGTATGTTGGCTTTCGGTGTCAGTCTTGTGGCAGTGGTTTTGTGAGTCAAGAGCCAACTCAAGGGAGCTGAAGACTCATCAATAGCTGGAATCACAAGCAAACCTCTGCCCACTGCAGGGCCCTCCCCTCGGCCCCTCTGCCTTGAAAGTCCAGGGACAGAAGTCCCTTTACTCAGAGTGGTGCCTAAGCCTCCAGCAGCTGTGCTATAAAGTTCTCCTGTAAACTAACTGAAGTCCCTGTCCCTGTACACTCTGTTCTGGGGCTGGACATGCAACTTTCCTTCAGCTCCTTGGCGCCAGCAGCACTGTCACCTGTCCCCCTCAGTGAGGCTCCAGGAAAGCCTATTCGACCCTGGCCTGGCATCTGAGCATCACACACACACCCACACACAGTATCCCAGAAATGCACCACTTTTCAGTGCCCACAAAACACCTGAGCCTGGCAGGGACTTGCATAGTGCCGGCGTCTGCTCATCAGCCACAGCTGATGGGCTCCTTCCCTTGGCAGAGAAGCGGAGGTCAGTGCCTCCTGCTCTGGCTCCGTCCTTTGATAGCTCAGGGCCACTGCACAGCAAGGGTCTCTCAGTCAGCAGTGGTCTCACTTCCAGGCCATCCTGAAATGACCCTCAGAGCAGGCCAGTCCACTCCGGTACACATGACGACTGTAGGAAATACACAGGTCGCCTGGTCAGAAGGAAATCATTGTCTTTGAAATATAGCTATCTTCAGTGTCCAGCTGTAATGAAGGGAACATCACTTGCAGCGTCCTTGTGTCTTCAGTGGCTTAACTCTTGGTCATCCTCCAGTCCCTGTTTTAAAGCCTTGGGGTTATAGCACACTTGGATAACACTGTGGGATTTTTTTCTGTTTATTACTTATGGCAAATAGGTCTTTGTCTGTTGATGTTGTTCCATTTACAATAGTTTGAGTTGATAAAGAAAAGCAGCTGCTGAACTAGAGAGGATCCACAGAGGGCATGGGCGAGGGTGGTTCGGGGCTCCCACCTGCAACACAGAGACAGGCAGAGGCTGCAGAGGCGGGGCTTCCCAGGGTCTCAGTCTCTTCCTGTGCTCTAACTGCGTGCTACCCACTGGGTAAAGTTTATTCGGTTCCTGGGAAGTCTGCAATCAGGGACAGAAGTCTCATGGGTGGGGACTCTGCCAAGAGTCAACATAGAGCAGGGCAGCTCTGGGCAATACAGAGCAGGCCAGCGGCCTTGGGACCCTCCCTTCCTGCCTTGGCGGAGCCCCACCCACCTGGGCCACCTCTAACCGCAGTCCCTCTCCAAAGGCTCAGCCTCCAACAAATGAACGTGAGCGTCGGGTTTGCAATATGTGCAATCTGGGGCCATGTTTCCAGTGGCTCTGCTGTGGCCTGCTGTGGTCATCTGCCCTGCTCTGGACTGCTATGCTGGTGGCACCACTCTGCTAACCCTCGTGCTCTGCCTCCCCTGCAGGTGCGGCGGACTGGGGCTGGTGCTGGCCAGTGCGGGCTTCGGCATGCTCACAGCACCCATCATCGAGCTGCACAACCAGAAAGGCTACTTCCTGCACCACATCATCTTCGCCTGCTGCACGCTCATCTGCATCATCTGCATCCTCCTGCTGCCCGAGAGCCGGGACCAGAACCTGCCTGAGAACATCTCCAACGGGGAGCACTACACACGCCAGCCGCTGCTGCCGCACCGGAAGGGGGAGCAGCCGCTCCTGCTCACCAATGCTGAGCTCAAGGACTACTCAGGCCTGCATGACGTGGCCACGACCAGTGACGGGCTGCCCGAGGGCGCCACCGCCAACGGCATGAAGTCCATGTAGCCTTGAGCCACTGTCCCTCAAGCCTCTGGGGCTGCAGGCATTGTGGGGAGCTCAGGTGCAGGTTTACAGGCCGGGCCAGGTGGACGCTCGGCCGGGGTCAGAGTCTAGCTCTGCTGTGGACGCTGCCCCCATGCATCGCGAGGCTTTTGGCTGGTGTTGGGAAATTCTTTTTCCAAAAGTCCAAGGAATGGGTTGGAGGAACAGACTCTTCGGAGATAACCCTTCGAAGACTTTCTTTTCTGCCATTAAATGTTTGTATTTATTTTGGTCATTTTTACGAGAAGCACTTTATCCCCTCTCCTCTCACTGATCATGAAGTGGACCCATGCCAGTGAGTGAGGCACGGTCACCCTGAGGGGGACCCTGGCGCTGTGGCCACCTGTGGCACACGTACATGACACGCATGTGGAGCCTCCCCTGACCGGAACTCCAGACGGTGACGCGCACATGAGCTCAGTCTATGCTAGAGGCTGTGTGTGGTTTTAAAGTCTGTCTGTTTTCCCTTCCGTGTGTAAGGTAAGAGCTTCCATGCCGTATGCTGGGGGAACTCGGCTTCCGGACATCATGGAAACCAGCCTAGTCTCTCCCCTCCAAATCATCCTCTGTACTTGACACTGGGCGCTGTCCGAGGGCAGCTTCCATATTGCACCAGGAACCGTAGCTGACCAGTAAGGATCACCGCTCTCCAACGCCAGGTTCGCTTAGGCTTGGACACAGCTGACAGGTGGGCTGCGGTCTGGGACTGTCACTTTATTAAAGTTCCATCCCAGATTAGCTCCAGCAGGACAGCTTCCCCTCTCCAGCCCGCTTCGTCTCCGGCACTACTTGAAAACCATGGCTACTTTCTGAACTGAAACACTAGGAAAATAACTGACAGAGACTAAGGCGACTCTCGGGAGGGAGGCCCTGCTCCCCCGGACTGTGGCCGTCACCCACATCTCAAGCACACACCCCGAGACCGCCAGCTCGGTGGTGACACTCGCATCCCCGGAGCACACACAGAGGCTGGCGGTCCCGTCTCCCTCGGTCACCCCCGCTTGTCGCTCGATCGCCAGAGGTGGGGTGCGGGTGCAGGCAGGAGTGAGGTTCCTCCTGGGTTAGTCAACACAGCCACAGCAAGATGAACTGAGAGAAGCAATAACTCACCAAAGCTCAGCTCCGCCCACCAGGCTCCAAGGTTCTCATCTGTACCTCATCTTGCCCCAGGCAGAAGGTTTCCGTCCGGTGTCTGCAGAGGACACTGAGAAAGTGGCCTTCTCAGCACAGGCAGGCACCGCTCTGCAGCCCCTCAGGCCTGCTCCCCGGCCTCTCACTCAGCTGCCCACCTCAGCCCTCTGCTGTGCATCTCCACCGAGCCTTCTTCCAGCCAAGTCGTCCTGGGCCATGGCGGCAATGAGGTGGCTTCCCCAGGACAGGGCCAGAGAGGGGCTGAGTTCGCCCTGGTGTTTCTCACTATCCCCACCCACCTCTCCTCCACATCGGGTGCAGACATCACAGGAGCCGCTGCCTGGACAGGCCCCAGGCGCGCAGTTGTGTTTCAGGTCACTGAAGCCTCGGGTGTCTGGCCTGACACATGGCAGGACCTGCTCCCAGTCCGGCTTGTCCTTGCCCTTCTGTGCTCTGTATCTGAGTCACCCTCTTTCCGTGTTTCCTGTTACTCCTTTCCAAAGGCCTTTTGTTAGATCCGTGCAGCCTTCGCGTGCCAAACTTGCAGAATACCTTATACACTTTCCAGAGTGCTGGCCACCAGCCCCCCAGCAGCAAACCCTGAAAAGGACAGGACAAGACATTGCAGAAGCTGTGATCAGCCTCCCAGGTCTATGCAGCCTTTTCAAAGAAAGCTGAAATCACCAGGAGCGTGGGGTCGAGGCAGGGCACTTCCAAGCTTCAGCCCCAGGGTCTCTGATCTCCACCTCTGGGGACAATGATAAAAACCTTGGGCCTGCAAAGACAGAGCTCCCTGCTTCAGCAATCAGGACCGAGCCATCAGAGGAAACCTCGCTTTGAGGCCCAGGCTCAGGACCAAAGTCTAGCAGCGCACAGGAGCCTGCAAGGTATCGCTGGCCGCAGAGGTACCTGAGCCTCTTGATGGAGGGCAGCTGCAGTAGGGTGCTTCCTGGGGGCCGAGCCCTATGTGAGCACTGGGAAGAGGCAGCAGCTCCCCCAGGCCTGCCACGTGTGGCCTGACAGGTTCCTCGGGTTCAGGGGGCCTCTGCCCTGGCTCCCCAGCACCAGGCTTCTGGCTGAGCCCCAGGGTTCTGTGTCCTGTGATCAGATGCTCCTCAGGCTCTTGCCCTTTCTACCCGGCCCGCCCACTCCTAGGTCTGGACTCCCTGCCACCCTCTTCGCCCAGCCCTGCACCTGTGCCCCCCTTTTTGATAAAAGTTATGCACAAATGTGAACACCTGAGATGGGACTGAGTACTTCTTCATTCTTTTCTTTTCCAGAAGTCAGTAATAATTCTTATCAGACATCCTAATTAGCACCCAAGGCCAATAGGAAAAAGAAGTCTTTAAGCGTTTTTGTTTTCTAAGACCCTAATTGCTTCCAACAGGAGGACGGGACTGGTAGGTCAGTTTGACCACAGAAAGAGACCTGGTGAAGGAAGTGGCACCCTCACACAGCCACTTCCCAGCCCAGCGGCAAGCCCTGAGCTGGATGTGCCGTTCAGTGACCTGTGACCATTACACCGCCCAGCCCCAGGTGGTGGGGGCCCGGGGGGACCCAGTTGCAGTTATCTCGTTTTGAAGGCCACCTCTCTACTGTACCATGTGTGTAGGAGAAGCAGCAGTGTGTTGTCTAACGAGGAATGCGTCCCTACCTCTGTCCTTCCTGCGGCCCAGTCAGGTGGGGTCTGCATCTCAGAACCGTGTGACTGTCCGCGTTGACAGGGTCCCTCTGGCGGTACCCGTTCATAGCACAAGCTTACTCTGAGTTCTGAACTGTCGCACAGCTACATGTCTGCATGGTGTCACCTCTGTTGTACTTCGGGGAAAATTCGTATGTAAATGTACAGAAATAAAAATGCTGCCCCATGAACAGATTTCCTCTGGAATGTCTTCCCTACCTCACCTGGTGGTATCCGACAAAGGGCATTTCACTACCATTGCTGACAAGTAATAAAAACCCCCCCTGTCCACTCCCTTCCACACCTCCGTACAGGGCTGCGTCTCTGCTGCCCCGGGGGATGAGGGCCGTCCCAGAGCCCTAGTTTGAAAGGCAGGCAGCCGCAGAGATGGATTCCGCAGGAACTGTTGATGGAGTACCGCGCTCAGAGCACCGGAGCACTCGGCACACTGAAGAGGAATTGTTTTTCCCATTTATGTTGTGGTAACCCGTGGCCTGAAGGTTCCTAGAGAGATCGAGAAATAAGTATCTTACACTGTGATTCTGCGAGCAAAGACTGATAACCCAAAACTCTCTTCTCTAATGTAGTATTTTTTAACAAGAAAACAATATTTCTTTAATAAAGTATTTATACCAAACTCTTCTCTCCATAGCCCTGATTTTGTGTCACTTATTATTCTATTCCCAGAGGGGCATCCACGGTGCTTTCCAAGCCACAGTATCGAGGCTGAGGCAGCAGAGGTCGCAGTGGGACGTGTGCCAGGAGGGAGGCACACACACGCAAGCTCCTAGGTAGGCCCCGAGTCCTGGCCAGCTCTGCCACGCTCCTCTGGCTACCCTGGTTTGATAAAGAAATGACTGGGCCCTCATGAGCCTCCTCTAGTGACGGAAGGGTCCCGGGGATGCCAAGGATTAGAGGGTTTGTTGCCAGTGGTGCCCAACCCTTCCTACTCACAGGGGCATCTGAGGCCTTCAGTTGCCCTGGACCCTGGGCTCCCCGGGGAAATGCCAGGAATGGAACTCGGGTGGTAGAAAAAGGCTAAACAAAAATGACCAAAGGCAGACACCTGGGCACAGGAGACTAGAGAAGACAGGAGGGAAGCAGAGGAGAGAACAGGAAAAGCAAGAGACCCGAGGCCTCTGGATCCATACACAGGAAAGCAGTACGACTGCAGGAGGGCCTAAATTCCCAGGGCAGAGCCTCTCTACATATAAACCCCGGCAATAACCAGCCACGTAGGAATTAGTCCCATCTTGTAGATGAGAAAACAAGAGCCCAAAGAAGCTAGAAACCTGACCACATGAGTAGTGTCAAGTGTCACCAAACAAGCAAAGTAACTGGCATAGATGGGGGAAGAATTTAGAGAGAACACACTAGGAAAGAAGGGCCGGGGGAAGGATTTAGGAACAGCACAGCAAGAAGAAAGGAGCCAGGCAGGGAATCCGTGCAAGTGAGATGAGCACACCCACTCGGGGGGTGGGAGGCAGCCTGAGCAACACAGCGGCAACCCAGGGCGGCACACCAGGGACTGTCACGCTGCCTGGGGATGTACAGGTACCACACACAGGGCGGCACACCAGGGACTGTCACGCTGCCTGGGGATGTACAGGTACCACACACAGGGCAGCACACCAGGGACTGTCACGCTGCCTGGGGATGTACAGGTACCACACACAGGGCGGCACACCAGGGACTGTCACGCTGCCTGGGGATGTACAGGTACCACACACAGGGCGGCACACCAGGGACTGTCACGCTGCCTGGGGATGTACAGGTACCACACACAGGGCGGCACACCAGGGACTGTCACGCTGCCTGGGGATGTACAGGTACCACACACAGGGCGGCACACCAGGGACTGTCACGCTGCCTGGGGATGTACAGGTACCACACACAGGGCGGCACACCAGGGACTGTCACGCTGCCTGGGGATGTACAGGTACCACACACAGGGCGGCAAACCAGGGACTGTCAAGCTGCCTGGGGATGTACAGGTACCACACACAGGGCGGCACACCAGGGACTGTCACGCTACCTGGGGATGTACAGGTACCACACACAGGGCGGCACACCAGGGACTGTCACGCTGCCTGGGGATGTACAGGTACCACACACAGGGCGGCGCACCAGGGACTGTCACGCTGCCTGGGGATGTACAGGTACCACACACAGGGCAGCACACCAGGGACTGTCACGCTGCCTGGGGATGTACAGGTACCACACACAGGGCGGCACACCAGGGACTGTCACGCTGCCTGGGGATGTACAGGTACCACACACAGGGCGGCACACCAGGGACTGTCACGCTGCCTGGGGATGTACAGGTACCACACACAGGGCGGCACACCAGGGACTGTCACGCTGCCTGGGGATGTACAGGTACCACACACAGGGCGGCACACCAGGGACTGTCACGCTGCCTGGGGATGTACAGGTACCACACACAGGGCAGCACACCAGGGACTGTCACGCTGCCTGGGGATGTACAGGTACCACACACAGGGCGGCACACCAGGGACTGTCACGCTGCCTGGGGATGTACAGGTACCACACACAGGGCGGCACACCAGGGACTGTCACGCTGCCTGGGGATGTACAGGTACCACACACAGGGCGGCACACCAGGGACTGTCACGCTGCCTGGGGATGTACAGGTACCACACACAGGGCGGCACACCAGGGACTGTCACGCTGCCTGGGGATGTACAGGTACCACACACAGGGCGGCACACCAGGGACTGTCACGCTGCCTGGGGATGTACAGGTACCACACACAGGGCAGCACACCAGGGACTGTCACGCTGCCTGGGGATGTACAGGTACCACACACAGGGCAGCACACCAGGGACTGTCACGCTGCCTGGGGATGTACAGGTACCACACACAGGGCGGCACACCAGGGACTGTCACGCTGCCTGGGGATGTACAGGTACCACACACAGGGCAGCACACCAGGGACTGTCACGCTGCCTGGGGATGTACAGGTACCACACACAGGGCGGCACACCAGGGACTGTCACGCTGCCTGGGGATGTACAGGTACCACACACAGGGCGGCACACCAGTGACTGTCACGCTGCCTGGGGATGTACAGGTACCACACACAGGGCGGCACACCAGGGACTGTCACGCTGCCTGGGGATGTACAGGTACCACACACAGGGCAGCACACCAGGGACTGTCACGCTGCCTGGGGATGTACAGGTACCACACACAGGGCAGCACACCAGGGACTGTCACGCTGCCTGGGGATGTACAGGTACCACACACAGGGCGGCACACCAGGGACTGTCACGCTGCCTGGGGATGTACAGGTACCACACACAGGGAGGCACACCAGGGACTGTCACGCTGCCTGGGGATGTACAGGTACCACACACAGGGCGGCACACCAGGGACTGTCACGCTGCCTGGGGATGTACAGGTACCACACACAGGGCGGCACACCAGGGACTGTCACGCTGCCTGGGGATGTACAGGTACCACACACAGGGCGGCACACCAGTGACTGTCACGCTGCCTGGGGATGTACAGGTACCACACACAGGGCGGCACACCAGGGACTGTCACGCTGCCTGGGGATGTACAGGTACCACACACAGGGCAGCACACCAGGGACTGTCACGCTGCCTGGGGATGTACAGGTACCACACACAGGGCAGCACACCAGGGACTGTCACGCTGCCTGGGGATGTACAGGTACCACACACAGGGCGGCACACCAGGGACTGTCACGCTGCCTGGGGATGTACAGGTACCACACACAGGGCGGCACACCAGGGACTGTCACGCTGCCTGGGGATGTACAGGTACCACACACAGGGCGGCACACCAGGGACTGTCACGCTGCCTGGGGATGTACAGGTACCACACACAGGGCGGCACACCAGGGACTGTCACGCTGCCTGGGGATGTACAGGTACCACACACAGGGCGGCACACCAGGGACTGTCACGCTGCCTGGGGATGTACAGGTAGCACACACAGGGCGGCACACCAGGGACTGTCACGCTGCCTGGGGATGTACAGGTACCACACACAGGGCGGCACACCAGGGACTGTCACGCTGCCTGGGGATGTACAGGTACCACACACAGGGCGGCACACCAGGGACTGTCACGCTGCCTGGGGATGTACAGGTACCACACACAGGGCGGCACACCAGGGACTGTCACGCTGCCTGGGGATGTACAGGTACCACACACAGGGCGGCACACCAGGGACTGTCACGCTGCCTGGGGATGTACAGGTACCACACACAGGGCGGCACACCAGGGACTGTCACGCTGCCTGGGGATGTACAGGTACCACACACAGGGCGGCACACCAGGGACTGTCACGCTGCCTGGGGATGTACAGGTACCACACACAGGGCGGCACACCAGGGACTGTCACGCTGCCTGGGGATGTACAGGTACCACACACAGGGCGGCACACCAGGGACTGTCACGCTGCCTGGGGATGTACAGGTACCACACACAGGGCGGCACACCAGGGACTGTCACGCTGCCTGGGGATGTACAGGTACCACACACAGGGCGGCACACCAGGGACTGTCACGCTGCCTGGGGATGTACAGGTACCACACACAGGGCGGCACACCAGGGACTGTCACGCTGCCTGGGGATGTACAGGTACCACACACAGGGCAGCACACCAGGGACTGTCACGCTGCCTGGGGATGTACAGGTACCACACACAGGGCAGCACACCAGGGACTGTCACGCTGCCTGGGGATGTACAGGTACCACACACAGGGCAGCACACCAGGGACTGTCACGCTGCCTGGGGATGTACAGGTACCACACACAGGGCAGCACACCAGGGACTGTCACGCTGCCTAGGGATGTACAGGTACCACACACAGGGCAGCACACCAGGGACTGTCACGCTGCCTGGGGATGTACAGGTACCACACACAGGGCAGCACACCAGGGACTGTCACGCTGCCTGGGGATGTACAGGTACCACACACAGGGCAGCACACCAGGGACTGTCACGCTGCCTAGGGATGTACAGGTACCACACACAGGGCAGCACACCAGGGACTGTCACGCTGCCTGGGGATGTACAGGTACCACACACAGGGCAGCACACCAGGGACTGTCACGCTGCCTAGGGATGTACAGGTACCAGTGTCGTGGCCGGTTTGAGTCTGGGGTTTTTCAACTCTGCTCATTAATCCCAGCAAATCCACCTGCAGCTCTTTTCCATGTCATCAACCCGGGAAAGTACAACAGGCACGCAGCCTGATGGCTGGATAAAAATCCATTTATTTAAATAAGTTACAGATTCTCCTGCTGCCACTCAGAACTTCTCCGGAAAAGCCTCCATTTCCTCCTTGATCCTGTTTTCCACGAGCAGGGCGAAGCTGCTGTCAGTGTTCTGCAGGTTGTAGCTGACGAACACCTGCTTCTGGGTCCTCCGGGCTGGAAAAGAGTACACAGCCCTGGCACTGTGAGCAGAGCCCCGCCTGGCCGGGGAGACTCCGGGAGTGCAGGTCCAGAGGCCCAAGGCCAGAACCTGGCATGCATGCCAGCCCCACACACCTTCCAGGGACGGAAAGTTGGGGTTCGGCTAGCAACCAGTGACAGCCAGCCTGCCAGGGACCCAAATGCTAATAATGTTCAAGAACCTCTGCTCCACACAGGGTTTCAACTTTGGGGTTTTTGTTTCTTTAAAATCACTGATAACATGTTGAAGTATTTAGAATATTAAAGTTCTCCTTGAGTACCAGCCGTCTCTGCCAGTTCCACACCCCTCCCCGAGCAATTGTTTTTTTTAATTCTGCATTTCTATGCTTTAACACAAGTACCTTCCCACACAGGTGCACGGATGGGAGCGCACACACATACAGCACATGGGTGTGATTCCCTGGCCCTGAGACCAGTAGCTCCCTTCAACAGAACAAAGGATGACTACACTGGCCCTACCACAAACACTAGGCTGAGTCACCCCTGCCCAGAATTGGGAAGAACTCGCTGCCCGCCAGGCAGGCAGAGCAGGAGCAGCACTGTCTGCAGCCACTGGGATCTCCATGCCCATCTCCACCCTCTGAGGTCCCCTCCCAGGGAATGAAGTCACCTTCGAGATGACTGCAGGCCAGCTCAGGCCTTGCCACCAGACCCCCGCAGGAACAGCCCAGTGCTCTGGCCACTGTCCTGGTCACAGTCCACATGGAACCAGGGACGGGCTGACACTGTGGCCACATACCTTAGGAGAGCCGGGCTCCTCCTGCCCCCACCCACCCAGAGAGCCCTGCAGGCTCCAGCTCCTTCTCCCCCTTTCCAGAAGGGCAGGCCTGGTCCCCCAGGCACTGTGTGCAGCTGTCCAGGCTGCAGTCCCCTGTGTGAGGAGGGGAGAGGCCGTGGGTATGTCAGCCTGACCACCCCTCTCCACAGCCAGCCCACCAGCCAGCAGCCCAGCTGCTGCTCAGAGGACAGCCTAGCGGGGCTCACAGTCCTTCCCGGAGAGCCTCTACCAGCGCACAGCACACAGCGTGATCATGGTGTGGGAGGAGGGCGGCCACAGGTGCGTGTGTCCCCCCTGCACCCAACCCACCCCCCATCCTACCCCCCACCCCCCCACCCCCATCCCCTCCTCCGAGGTGCAGAAGGCAGCCTGGGGGCACTGGGATCCCAGGGATCCACACAGCAGCATGGCTGGCAGAGCGCTGCTGTGATCCCCACCAGGCTGCACATCTGGTCAGCTCTTGGTGGCAAGAGGGACCCGCTCCACAGAGCCCATTGCAATTCTACCTCCCGAAGACTGGCCCCAGGGTGGCGGGTTTGCTGTCTCGTCCAGGCCCAGCCCCGCCCTGCAGGGTCTACTCATCCACACCAGGCCTGCATGCATGAGGTCTGTGCTCCCCCACTCGCTCTCACTGCCTGTGGGGACCCCACAGCAGGATACCACTCCCTTTGCAGCACTGAGTGTCCTCCAGGCCACAGCAGACAGGACAGAGGGACAGAAGGATGTCACCTGGCAGCCCCTGCTTGATCTGAACACAGTGCAGTGGCAGAGCCCTGAGAAATGCAAGTGGCCTTCTTAGATCCTGAGAACTCTGCCTGGCCCTGCAGACAAAGTGGCCAGTCAGCCTCCGTCTCTGGCTGCTCTCCAGCCTGCTGAACTTCTCTTCTATAAAACTCCAATTCGTGGCTCACTACATGAGACCCTCCCCCTTTCCTACCGGGGTCTCCTGGTGACCCAGCTTTCCGCCCCCAAAGGCAGGATGCTTTCCTGTGGCTGTGACCAGCAGGTGTGGACACACAGACTGGCACTGTCCCTTCAAAGCCAAAAAGTATACAGGGAGTCAGTCACTCAGAAGCACAGAAGCAGGATGGTCTCGAGCCGGCTTACACGCGGTTCAGAGAAGACGCCACCAGCCCCGAGTGGGAATGAAGGATTAAAAAAGCCAGGTGTAGATTCAGGGCTCCACAGGAATTCTGTCTTCTTTGTAACATTTCTGTGAACTTAAAATTACTTCTGAGAAAAAATTACTAAATCTTGCACTAGTCAGGTCTCTCCCACTCCAGCTGCAGGAGCAGCTGCCAGTTCCTCCAGGAAGGACACAGCCTTCCCCGACCTCCACTGTCTGGGCATGCCGGGTCTGAGGAGCTGGTGACACTCCTCCTGCCTGGCCTTCATGCAAAGCGCCCTCCCTGGGACAGCTGTGCCTGCCATGGAGTACGTAGTTCAGGCTGGCCTCTAACTCCCTGTGAGCCACCTGTCTCAGCCTCCCTTGTACTAGGATTACAGGCGTGTGCCACCACTCCTGGCTCCAAAGATGTTCCTACTCTGCAGGGATCAGGCAGACAGAATTCTGTGTCCAGTACCCAGCACAACTGAGAGGCGAGCTCCTCTGCACATTGCCCGCATGTGCTGGCCCTGGAACTGAAGAACTGAGGACCCAGGGCACACTGATAGGGACAGGGTGTCCATGCACATGGGTCCCAGAGCTGAGGGTTGCAGAAGACGTGCCATGCTTACCTGAGCAAGCTGAGTGTGCACAGGAGTGTGTGCTGGGCATCACAGAGGATGCAGCCTGCGGGCTCATGTTTTCTGCTCAACACCCACTCCGCACACGCTCAGAGGCCTGGCCACAGCTTTGCCACCAGGTCCTGACCCTCCCATGAGATTACAGGACAGTCCCTGATGCACCGTGTCAGCTGCTCTGCAGGCTGCCCCCTCCTACAAGAACTAGGGTGGAGATGTGATATGAGGGCATCACTCACTGTACCCTCCACAAGGAGAAAAAAGGAAGTCAGCTCATGGACTCACAGACACGGCCAGGGGACACAGGAGTGCCTGGGAGCACACTGGCCCTGAGATGGTGAGAAGGAAGAGCACAGTGTCACCCTGGCCCAACACACAGGGGGTGTACCTTCCGCACTCACTACAGACTCCTCACTTCCCAAGCAACCTGCCCCACGCACTGGACAGCAACCTCCTGGCTACCTACCTAGGCGCTGGGCGAGGCCGGTGGAGGTTGTGTCAGAAGTGTTTCCCAAGAGGGAGGTGCACACAGGGATGGGGTCCTAGAAGGAAAACAGCGCAGCTGTAGCTTCCCACCTGGGTGCAAGCAGCCGTGCTCCCGCTGCTCCCGGCTCCGCAGCACGGGCAGGAGCAGGTTCCATGAGGACGGTGCTGCTGGGAAGAGCTCGCACCTGTCCACATCCTGAAAGGCTGATGCCAGCCAGCCCCACAACACAAAGGTCGGTGGAGCTGGGCCAGGCGAAGCCATCTGCAGGTGGACCTGGCAGAGCTGTTAACAAGTTCTAGGTTGGATCTCACCCAAAGGGCTTTCGTGTCAGGAAGGCGGCAGGACCCTGAAGGCCACAGCAAGGAGGAAGCAGACAGAGTGTGGCTGCCTAGTGTCCTGGTCCCCAGCAGAAAGAAGGACCCCGATCTCATCTCAGCCTGTGAGCATGCCCAGCCCCAGCCCCAGCCCCAAAGGTTGTCTGGGCTCCTGTGGGTCAGCAAGGACTCAACTGTGATTTTGAGAAGGGCACAGCCACTACCAAACAACTGAAAGAGCTGATGCCTGGCCAATCTCACTTCAAAGAAGAGACAATAAAATGAGGGGCGGAGAGTGACGGAGGTGGAGGTAAACACTGGGGCCCCTGTAGTCTCACCCCAACTCCTTTGCAGGTAATCTCCCTCGCTATTAAGAAGTCTCGCTTAAAGGGGAAGAGCACTTACTAACTTGGGATATAGCCAGGACTACTGGCTATCAACCCAGCAGATTTCAAGAAGCAGAGAGGAGGGGCTGGGGATTTAGCTCAATGGCATAAGTGCCTGCCTTGGAAGCAGGCAGTCGTGAGTTCGATTCCTGGTACCGATAAAAAGGAAAAAGACAAAAAAAAAAAAGAGGCAGAGAGGGAATGGAGCTCTGGGGATCCTTGGTGGTAGTGCTGATTTCTAAGGGAGAGCGGCTCTGGGCCCTCTCCAGGTGGGGACAAGTGGCCTGTGCACCTACTTGTGCCATATGGTGTGGCAGAGCCTGCACCTGTTTCCTGAGGGTTCAAGGCCATCACTTCCCAAACTCGCTCAGGTTTACAAAAGGTGAGAGCAAAAAACAGAATGAAACATCTCTGGTGTGTGAAAGACACACAGCCCCTCTGTTTACTGATTCCAAGATTAACGTTTAGCTGAATGGAATCAGTGTTTATATTAAACTTCCTGAAAAAAAGCAAGTCTAACTTCCCAGAGGGGCTTTTCTACGCAGAATGAAATGTAAAACCCTCTCCTGTTAGCTTGTTAGCAGCTTGTTACTGCCCTAAGGACAGGAGCCAGTCACAGCCCCAGTAGCTCTGCAGAGAAGGGTACCACCTCCACTCCACTTAGGTCAGGGGATCCTAGGTCCCAGGCCAGCCTCCCTCTAACAGGTGGGCCAGGCGCCATCCAGTTCTGGTCTCTCTAGGCACCTTGCAGCTCTGTCCCAAAAGAGTAGGGTGGAGGGGGCACCATCACAGACCCTGGTGCTCCACAAAGGACCAGCAGACTTTCCCTGGGATGGGCCAGAGAGTAAAGCATTAGGCTTTAGGAGCCAAAAGGCCTCTCTCATAACCACCTAACTCGGCCATCAAAGCACAAGAGCTGTGTGGACGGGCTGCTACCCCTAAGGCCCACTTGTCTGCTGGTCACCCAAAAAGCAAAACCAAGTACTGAACAGAGAACAGGGAAGATGCAAAGGGCCGAGGCTATGAGGAGAGGATATTTAGCCGTCCCGATGCGATGCTGTCTCCTTCCCCAGGCTTTCCTGGGGGACGCACCCTGGCTCCCCCTGCCTGGCCGGCTGCAGTGCACACTGCAAGCAGCCTCACTCAGTCCCTGCACAGACCTCCCAAGCAGCCTGAGGAAAGCACTCCTGAGACACCTCCCTGCAGCACTACACACTAGCGGCAGAGGCGGCCCGGCTGTGGGGTGAACAGGCAGGAAGGAGGACCACAAGCAAACAGACCCTGAAAGTCTCCACAGCAGGCTCTCAGTTCATCTCCTCAAGCTTACAACTATCTGCCCAGCCCCGTGGAGACATGACCAGAGACAGTGCTGTGCTAAATTATGGCCCCTAAATAAGAGAAGTCCTGACCTCTGGAACCTGCAAAGGTGAATTTACTGGGAAAGCAGCTGGCAGCTGTAATTAAGACACAAGCTGCAGCCACAGTGGAGCAGGCTTTATCCAGTACGACCGATGTTCTTGTAAGAAGACCCAGGCTGGGGTGCAGTGCAGTAGTGGAACACTAGGCTAGCATCTAGGTGACACCCTGGATTTGATTCCCAGCACGGCAAAGAGAAAAGGAAAGGGAAACAGAGAAACAGGAGGAGGAGGAGGAAGAGGCGGCAAAGGCAAACACTCAGGGAGAAGATGGGGCCTATGACATGCAGACGGACATAGGAGTGATGCATCTACAAGCCAAGGCCCGCAAGGGACTCTGGTGGCCTGAGGCTGCCCAGGGGCATGGGATGGTGTCCCCCAACAGCTTGACCTCCAGAACATGGGAAAGTAAAGCTTTGTTGTTTTAAGCCACCCGGTTTATGGAGCTTTGTTCCAGAAGCCCCAGGACGGTAACTCAGGGGTGAGGGAGGGGAGGGCTGGAAGGGGAGACAGAAGCCAGGGTTGACCTAGGGTTGCAGATTTGCAAGGGAGGAGCTGCATACTATGACAGCAGCAACTAGAGCCACACTGACTTTGAGCACACAAAGTGTAAAAGAAAGAAGGGGAAAGAACAATCAGTTCCCTGCACGGTGACCATGTAGGCCACACCTCTCATCCTAGTATTCTAGGAGACTGAGGCAGGAAGACTGTAAATGTGAGCCCAGCTCAGGCAACTAAGCAATTTGGAGACGCTGGCTCACAATTTTAAAATATAAAATTAATTTTAAACTAAATGGGGATGTTGGAGCTGAGGATTTAGCTCAGCAGCATAAGCATGTGCCTGGCAAGCACGAGGTCGTATAGTTAGATCCCCAGTACCAAAAAAAAAAAAAGTGGAGATGTAGCCCAGTCTGAAGCCCCTGGGTTCAATTCCCTTTACTGGATGGGAAAAAAACACCCAGAACCCAGAAAGGTGCAGCTACCATCACAGAGCGAGGTGGGCTGGACGCTGCAGGATAAGGGAAACAACAGTAGTCCGTGGAGCGCGGCTACCTCAGAATGCGATGGTTATCAGACCCAGGAAGAAGCTGGCCATACTGGAGACGGAAATATACACGCCACAGCGGGCAAACCGAGCTGTCCTGAGTTTAAGGGTTGATGACAGCCCGCCCCTACCCCAGAGCGTGAGTGACTGGAAGAGAGGTCCCCAGATCCCACAACCCAGCCTCCAGGCAGCAGGAAAGGAAGAGGTAATCTGGGGGCGGGGGACGGGGCCGGCCAGCATTCAGCGGTGCGGTGTGCCTATCCGGGATCCCCACCGGCCCAGGGAACACGGGGCTCAGCCCGCAGGGCAGGCTCCGAGGGCGCTTGGGGCCGTAGGGTTCCCCAAGCTCCAGGGGTCCCTCCCCCGACAGGCCCCGCCCCTGGGCCCCGCCCACTGCAGGGGCCGCCCACTGCAGGCCCCGCCCCAGCGCCGCGCACTCACGTAGCGGCTGCACATGGCCACGGCGAGGTTGCGCAGGTGCGGCGTGGCCCCCACCCACAGGAAGAGCGAGTCCGTCAGCCGCATGACGTGGAAGTGGACGAGCTGCTCCCACAGCCTCGCGCTGAAGTTGTGCAGGGACACATCCCCGCCTGCGGCGGGCTGTGGCTCCTCCATGCCGCGCCCGGCCACCCCGGGCCGCAAGCCGAATCGTCTCCGATGTTGTGCGCCTCAGCCGCCGGCAGGCCTGAGCGAGCGAGCGCCGAGCGGAGGAGCGCGCCGTCGCTTGCTTTGCACGACGAAGTCGGGGGCGGGGGCCAGGCCGTAGTGGGCGGGGTCAGAGGCAGGGGCGGGGCCATCAAAGTCCTTATTTCTCTGGCCGCGGGAGGAAGTCCATTTGGGTGACTTCTGGGAGACCTCGTCCTTGTCCCCTCGCTCCCCAGCGCCCCGCTGCAGAAGAGGAGCGGTTCTGGGCTAACTCGCACGGCTGTGTTCATTTCCTACCCGATCCCTAACCTAAGGACAACCTCCCCGATCGGACTTCCTCCTTCTCTTCCCACTATCCTTTCCCTAACCCCAGGGAAGCCTTGGGCCTAGATGGGCCTGCTGCGGAGACTGAGGCAGGACAGCCACTCCCTGGGGGGACCCTATCTCAAAGGACACGGGCTGCAGCTCACTGCCAAGGTCCTGGGTTCAGCCGCCAGTGACGCACGCGCACAGCAGCACGGGGAGTTGTGATAGGAAATTGTGTGAGCTGGACTCCGGTCCCCGGGAGCTCCATCTAACACAAGGACCTCAGACTAACCCCGGAAGCTCAGTTTCCTGATCTGCAAAGTGCAGATAAGAACGGGCCTTCTCAGCCGCGGGCCGCAGGCCGGTGCTAAGACGTGCTGGAAGCAGCCTGGGCGGAGGCCTTGGGCCCTACGGGGTCCCTGTACTCTGAGGGCTTGGGACATGGAGCAGGAGGCCCACGGGTGCAGAGGACATGGGAAGGACCAACAGCACCCATTTTGGTGGTTTCCATGACTACTGATCCAGGGGCTTTCGGTCGGAACTGTAAAAGGTCCCTCTTAATGAACTCTGTGGAGCTGATTACTGTGATTCTAATGTGGTTTGTGACCCCCAATTCCATGGTGTATTGCTCCCTCAAGTTGGTGCTTTTGGAAGGTGGGGGTCCTTTGGGAGGGGGCCGGGCGCCCCCAGGAATGGGCCCACAGACTGCTTTGTAGTGTCGCTATAGAAGAAGCAGGCCGTGCCTTGCCACAACCCAAGCAGCTCCTGAGGTTCTTGGGGTGAAGGACTGCGAGAGATGAGAAAACTAAGAGACAAAGCTGGAGGCCAACAGCGCCCATTTTGGTGGCTTGGGTGACTACTGATTCAGGTGGAGCCCTTATGCTCCTGATGGGAGGGAAGGTACTGGCTCCTCACTGCAGGGACAGTTATTTAAACCTTTTAGCAACTGAATGTCACATGATATCCTGTTGTCCTAGCAACCCACTGTTCAGATTGTTTTGGGGCCAGGTGTTCTCTGGGCTGAAGCAGCGTCTTCAGGTGGTTTGCCCAGGTGCTCTTTGTTCTCGGAATGGTCATCCTGCAGCCTTGCATGTGTGGTCAATCTCCAGCTTCAATGGCTCCCAACAGGGCCTTGCCCACCATCACTGTCAGCTTGTGGCGCAGGATGTGGCCCCTCGACTGGATCTGCAGCCCTGCTGTGTCCATCCACCCATCCTTGTGGGTCCTGACCAGAACTGCCCGATGGATGCAGAATGGTCTGGGCCTCAGGCCTCTAGAACCTTTTCTCTTTATATATATATATATATATATATATATATATATATATATATTTCACATTGTCTGAGATGCTTTTTTATAGTAACAGCGCTAGCACAGAGGTTAAGTATTTTTCTACAGTTTTGTTGTTTGGTAATGATAAGTGATTCAGTAACACAGTTCACATTCAGGCCGAGTTGTAAAGCTTTACTAAATGTAATTATCGTGCAGTAACTGCGTATACTCTGGATGTGCAGACTGAGGGGTCAGCATGTGCATAACCGTGGCGTGGAAACAATGGACCATCCAGGTGGTCTTGAAGTATAAATCCGAGCCAGCGCTTCCTTGGAGACACACACATACCCATGTGCAGGGGACTGTAGTGTGGCCCTGTGTCCTGGGAAGCCCACCCGGGACGCCCCACGGTCCGATCACTGCGTACAGCGGTGAAGGGACCCCCACTCCGTCTTCCCAGCCGGCACCCTTGGGACTGGTCTTCTTCCCTGCAGACAGCGCCACCTGCTGACGCTCCTGCATGGCCGTAGCTCGTCCCCGCACCGGACTGGCACTGTCCAGAACCAGCTCTTGCCCTCCTCGGGCCTGGACTGCTGCTGTGTCATTCTGACCCCTCTGCTCTTCTTTTCTCCTCGGCTTCCCATGTGCGTGTGCTTGTGTGTGTGTGTGTGTGTGTGTGTGTGTGTGTGTGTGTGTGTGTGTGCGCGCGTGCGCGCACGCGCGCGCAGCGAAGTAATCAATTCAGTTGCACCAGCTCCTCTCAGGTGGTTAGCCTGGACAGCTCTACAAACACAAGCTGGTTCCCCTAGTGCTCGCCTCCTGGCTTGATGTCCTGAGGGTGCGGAGCTCTGCAGAGCAGGCAGACCCCGCCTGGTTCTTGCCCTGGGCATCCCTGTACCTGGCCTGCCCCACCCCACCCCCTTGCCAGCCTGGGAAATGAGTGGGGTGAAGTTAGCCCTGCCCTGGCCCTCAGGCATCCGTCCTGGCTGCAGCCTGCTGCGGGACTGCTCCTACCCTTCGGTTTGACCTGCCCTGGGGTGGAACTTTCATGGAATGGCTTTTTTGCAGGCCCGGATAGCGACAGGGTTTTTCATCTGCAGCTGATGGTGTGACCTAGGACCCTGTTTATAACAATAGGCATGAAGGAAATACTGATCGAATGGTGACCTATGGATCGAAGGAGCCTTATCAGGGGCTTAGGCTCTAGCCGTGGCCTCACCACTAACCAGCTCTATGCTCCTACGCTGCGTCTCCATTACCTTCACTGTAAACTGAGAGGACTGCAAAAAAAAAATGGGGCTGGGGATTTAGCTCAGCGGCATAAGTGCCTGCCTTGCAAGCAGGCAGTCGTGGGTTCGACCCCCGGTACCGATAAAAAAGGAAAAAGAAAAAAAAAAAAAAAGCTGAGAGGACTGGCTCACATGGTCTCTAGGGCGCCTCACAGAGCTAACGCTGAAGATCAGGTGAGAATGCAGAATGCTAAGGAAAGCCCTTCCGGCTCGGCCCCAAGCCGACGGATGTAATTCCGCAAGTAGCCGCCAGGTGGCGGGTGGGAAGGAAGCGGGCTGGATGCACGGCGGCCGTTGCTTTCTGAAAGCCGCACTGGGAATCAGCGAGAGTCCCTGGTCTTTCCTCCAGGCTCTGCTGGGATGGAGCGGGGTCCTGTTACCTGACAACGCCAACGCCCACAGATGCAAAGCTACCCGGGACCAGGTGGCAAAAAGCAGTTTCAAAAGGGAGCGTGAGCAGGGCTTGGAGTTTTGAGTTAGCGGACCCTTTTCTCCCAGCAGGGTGACCTGAGCCTTTGTCTGGCATGAATCTCACTGGGAATCCAAAGTCGAAGGACTGACTTCCCCCCAGGCCCGGGGATGGGACCCAGGGTCCCACGCGTGCCCGGTAAGCACTTGCTCCCACAGAGCCAGCCCAGCCCAGGCCAGGGGCTTAGATGCTAGGAATCCTGCTCCGTGGGGCTGACCTTTCTTTCTGCTTCTACAAAGACCATCTACAAATGGCGCCATCCCCTTGGGCACTCACGTTGCCCGCAGTGAGCCCTAAGGACTTCTTGGATGTCGATGACATCAAGGGCTTGCTCAAGAACCATCTCCTTGGGCTTCGAAGACAAGAATCAAACTCAGTGAAATGGCAGGGTTGGGGATGTGTACTAACTAGCCCAAGCTGTGGGAAACATTGAACCTTGCTAGGTCAGCTGCTGGATGTGACAGTCTGGCTTCTCGATGATGCCATAAATGTCGCTTGACATGAGGTTCTGTGGCTTCCGTTAGGAGCCCAGGCTGACAGAGCCAGTGCCTCTGGACAGGTTCCAGGAGCGGAGCAGAGCACAGGCCTCAAGCCTGGGCTTTGGCTCAGGCCTGGGTCTTGGCTCAGACCTGGGCCTTGGCTACGCTGATCTGGAAGCAAAGATCAATTACATTCTTAGTGGTGAGTAGTATCACCTGCGACTGCCACCAGCAGGGGCTTGCAAATATGGGGAGCCAACCCAGTGCTGGCCAGAGTAACACAGTGACAACACGGAGCCTAGCTCAGTAGCAAGAGTGTGCCAAGCGCACGCAAGGAGACACTTGAGAGATTAAACCTGCCACCTACAGCGTCTCTTGATTTTCTATGAAGAACTCCTAATAACCGGGGGGCCGAGAAATGTCCCCAGGACCTGTGTTCACCCCTCAAGGATCAAACAATTTTAAGTCTTTGTCTCCCCTGAAGAGTGAATGATAATTTACATTCTGCTCCGAGTCTGTTCCTCCCACCAAACCCACCTGCATACCTGCACGGGAGCGCATGAAGTGCCCCGCGCGCCTGCGCACTTGGAGAACAGGTGCATGGGCGATCCGAAGACAACCGCAGTTCCCACCCCCTCGCCTCCTCAGGGGCATCACACAGGCCGCGTGTCCCCCTCTCCTCCATCGTCTACTGCCACCTGCCTGCTTCACTATTCCAACTGGCAGTCGGGCATCCCCTCTTGGTTCAGACTTGGTGAATAACGCTAAGGTGGCCAGGAAGCCAAAGAAACAGGCAGACAGCCACAAGGTCTCACAGAGTATCCCTTACTGGGGACATGTGCACGGGAAAGGGTCTTGGGCAGCAGTGAGGCGAGGGTCCCTGCACCCCGAGGCAGAGGCAGGGGTTTATGTGTTAAGAGAGACAAAGCTAACCCTGCTGGCTGACAAGGACCTGGCCTTTCTCAAAAGCTATGAGCATGTCAAGCATCAGTTAAACAGTCCAGGTCCGAGGCTGGCACAGAGGCCTGGCCAGCTGTTTCCGAGGCCTGGTTCATCCTGGTGGGCAACAGGGTGGCTGTGACCAAGATGGTCTGAGCAGATTGAGCTGCATCCCTGGGTGCTGACCCATGACTCCTGGGAAAGGGGTTCTGTGTGCTGCCCCCTGTTCCCCTGCCCCCTTCTCTCCTGAACTCACTTCAGTGGGGTTTCCCTCCCCAGCCATCCCCAAGCTGAGTCTCTGTCCTCCCTTCTGCACCAGGCGGGTGGCACTTGACTCACAGGATACTGTGTCTCCAC